GTCAGTGGGAGTCTTTCCCCTGACTTCACTGTGTTTGGGGCAGGTCCTGGATGACTATCCCTCAGGTTAGACAGTTTAATCATCCATTCAGCAGTACACAAAGCAGATCACATACACTTTTAGCCTGCATTGTATGGTGTTATGAAACGAGAAGATTATTTGATATGATTCAGAGATAGCTCAGGTATAAGGTAAAAAAAAAAAAAAATCACACCTTTGATGTTTTACATTACACTTCAGTTATTCCTTGAGGGGCAAATTCTCGTCACCTTACCCAGGTGAATATTGCATTCAGTAATTTGGTCAAAAGCATTCCATCAACCTTCTTTTTAATAGAAAATGTTGAGGGGGGGAACAGGGGCGGAAATTCAGCTTGATGGAGATTTCTGACAAGCAGGACAAAAAAAGAAAAGGCAAACCCATGTTTTCCTTCTTTCAGCAATCAGGAAAAAAAAATTGGAACAAAAATTAGTTTTGAAGGGATTTTCTGACAGGGCAATAAAACTAGTCTTTTTACTCTCCAAAAACTAAGGAGAAACAAAAGTTTCCCAATGATTGCAGTCTCCATCTGGCACAGCTATTTCTAGCTGAGATGTCAACCATCCATGGACTATCAGCCAGGCCTGATTCTCATCTCGAATCTCTTTGGTCAAGCTACAAAATGAGTCTTTGTCCCTCTTATTTGGTGTGTTATCAGAACAAGACTGACAGGAGCAGCTTCCACTTTTGAGCTGGGCAGAATTTAGGTACATCGTGCTCACAGTCAGGTGGGAGCTGCAGGGTATGTAGGGCTTTATCTCATGAAGTCTGATGAAGATTTTTTTTTTTTAATCTCTAGAAATACAGAGAGGGCAAGGGCAGGGATACTTGTAGCTTCCTAGAACAGCGGTGTATCATTTGAAGTATTTCTAAAAAAAAAATTTTAGGAGAAACCACCCTTACTCAGCATTAAAAAAAAAAAAAGGCAATAAAATCTTCTGCGCAGGCACAACACACCGTGGCCGAATTCCACGGACTCGGTGAGCGACAGGGCAAATCAAAGCCTCCACCTTCAGAGGAGAGAAGCAAACCACAAGCCATGGCCAGTGGCAGTAATTGAAGCCCCACTTCTGAAGGAGTTGGCGGGCGATGAAACCCAGCGTGGATGGCTCCGCTCTGCCTCTGGAATCCCCTCCCAGCCCCGCTGCTGCTGGGGGCGGGGGGTTTGACTCCCCTGGCACAAGATTCCCTTTGTTGGTGGGAGCTGGGTCTCCTCTAGGGGCCGGGGCTGATCCAGCTGTACTGGCAGAGCCTTTGTAGTGCGGAGCAGCTCAAGTGCAGACCTGCAGCGCTGCCTGCCCCAGCCTCTGCTGGCAGGGCGATAAGGCCAGCGCTGAGCTGAGCTCAACGACCCCGCGCTGCAGAAATGCCGCACGTAGCAGCCAGAGAGCATCTGTGTTACTGGTCCAAGGCATCTCTCGGAATGCCTCTGGACTGTGCTCCTTTTCCAGCAGGGAATGCCTTTTTTTTTGGGAGTTGCGTGTGCTGGGAGTGTTGCAGAGGTACCAGGTAGCTGTGTTTGCAGTCATCAGCACAAGCGTGGTACCACAGCTGGGGAGGCATCCCTTGGATGCCTAAAAAGAGTGGAGAAAACAAGCAAAGACTTCTTGTGATGCTTAAACTTAGTGACAGCTGAAATCCGTGGGCTAGCAGCTAATCGGCATGAAATCACTGCTCCCCTAAAGCCAGGAGTTCTGTAAAGGACATATTTTATGGGGTGATCCCCACAGCTGCCAGAGCAGAGGGGATGAAAGCCTGAAGTTTGAGCCTTTCTCCTAAGGAAGGACAATTCTCGGCTGACTTGCCTGAGAGTGGGCAATGCCCCGGGCTTCTGGGCCATCGCCTGACCCGGGCTGGGGAGAGGCTCATTGTCATGGAGAACTGCCCAATCCAGGCATGGCCTTGGCATTTATAGGGGAGCGGGAACTCTCGGGGTGGTTCAGCAGGCTAATTGCCTTTGTCTTCCCCCTCCTTCAATAGGGGAGTCTCAGTAAATCCCTAAACCCATGACAAAAGCCCTGCTGCTTTTAAGTGCCTCCCATTAAACTCAATCCTCTTGCCCTCCCTCTCCCAAGATTTGCTAAAAAGAAGTCTCTTTCAATGGCAAAAGGAAACCTAAAAGGCTGCCATTAGCTCATTCACTGTCTCCTCTGCAGACTGGGTGCCTATCTGCTGAGATCTCCTCTCGAATGTCCCTGAGCACACCGGGGGTAGATTCTCTGTCGGAGAAGGAGCTGGAACATTCCCTGATTCCAGCTAAGGATATGCTTTCCCTGGAAGAATCAGGGTTTGGTGCTTATGGCTGGACAGGTGCACTGGGAACAGTCAGACCTGCCAAAACCTCCTTTGAGCCCACCACCATTCCTCAAGACCAGGGCTGGGGCACTGTGGTGGATGAATCCTCGTCTGATTCTGCTCTGGCAGGTTCTGGCTATGCCCCTGCCAACTGAAGTGGCACAAACCCTGTTGAGCCATGGGATATTGCTGAGGACGTACTGCCAGGTGCAGACCACCCTGCAACACAAATTTGTCAGATTTGGGATTCCCAGGAGCAAAAGTTTATGGGAACTGTGCAGAAACATACAGCTGATGGAAGTGGCAACGTGAATTTGCCATTGGTTCTGTATCCTCAAACGTTTATGGGTAATGCCTGCAGAGGCCCAGCTGATGGAAGAAGATAAATTAAAAGAAATGTGAGTGGAAGAACACGAGCTGGACACACACAAGTGTCCGGCATTGGCTCAAGGCTTGCTAAGGTCTGAGAGCAGGCTGGCAGTGTACAGGGGGGCAATGGTCACTTAGATACACAAGTATGCAGTTCCTGGCTTACTTAGGGACTGGATCTTTATCTTTCAGAGGTGTTGGGAATCCCTCAACTGCTCTTAGGTCAAACTCAGCCGTCCAAACTCCAAATAAAGCTATTCCATACCTGGTGGGTTTGAAGCAGGACAAGACTGACTACCTTGTCCTTTTCCTAGCGTTAGTCTGCCCTTTCCCTCCCATTATCGCTGCCACTGCATCACCTGAGATGGAATTAAAATCAGGAGGAATTACCCCTAAAGCCAGGAAGATGGTATCTGTGCTGGGAAGGGGCGAGGGGGAGGGGGAGAGGCAGGAGTTGCCACCCACCCACTGGTCCCAGCGATTGCACAAAGGGCGGCTGGCCAGTGCCGGGGCAAGTCCTTGGTCCCGATCCCAAGCACATGGAAGTCATCTGATGTTTCGTCATGGCTTCATTATATTTTGGATCAGGCCAGCGGTTTGTCTTGCATCACTGCCCTGTATGTTCTGCAGGTAGCCAGTGCAGAGGCGCTGCCAACAATTTTGTTTTCTGAATAGCCTGCAGGGATGGCCTTAAATCACGGCAGATGCCTGTATGTTAAACAGCTGCAATTTCATGCTTAACTTCATTGTGGATGCTGCATTCCTCATGACGACACTGACATTTATGCTGTAACTGCACACAGCCCCCAACAACCTGCTCGTGAAAACGGCAGGAATGAGGGATTGATTGTTTAGCATCACGGCTTATGGGTGATGGATTCTCCTTTCCCAGCAGCAGGAAATCAGGAAGGATTCCCAGAAGCGCTGCCTGGCCCTCTGGATGACTGGTCCCACCTCTTCACTGGCCAACAGTGCAAGCAGGTGCAATCCCAATAGAGAAACTGATTTGCAAAACGGACTGAGCCTCCTGCAAGCTGGCACCGCTCTGGAACCAGTCCCACCTCTTTTACTGTTGCAAATTTTTATTTTTTTTTTACCAAACCGGGCTGAAAAAGGGCAGTTGTGATTCCGACCGTTGAGAAAAATAAACAAAAACGAAAGAGTGCCCACACTACACAGTGAGACTCCAAGAAACTGCACACCAGCTCAGATGTGTCTCTTTTGGGAGCAAAGCAGGTTTTTTTCTGCCCTACTGCACAGATGAAATTGTTCATAAATTTTTACACCTTTTATCTCAAACGATATGAAAAAAACCCCTGCCTCCAACAGAGTTTTAAAATACTTCAAACATACTGATGAACAACCAGGCCGATATCTAACAATTGTTAATATTTTATTCCCAACAGCTGTTCAGCCTGAAAAGTTTCAGTAATACACTAAAAACAGAAACAAAACCAACAAAAAATTCAAAACAAATAAAACAACAAAAAAAGGGGGAAAACAAAGTAAAATAAACTTTAACAAAGTTTAAAACACATTATAAATAAGTACAGCTCCAGAGCATAATTTACAAATATAAAACCACATAGAAACGTATGTACAGAAGAGTTACATTACGTACAAATATGTATAAAAATACCCCAGTGTTTATTCTTGTGCTAAAGCTGCGTGGCTAGAGTTATCTTTGGTACTAAGCTCAGGGAAAGAAGATTGTTTTACAAGACATGGCCCTGCTGTACAATATGCCAGACACAGGAAGACCCTCCATGGGTTTGAGGAGGTTTGGGGTGGGTGTTTATACAGGATTTTCCCCTGTGCATTGCATATTGCAGGATCAGGGCACAAGCAAGGGCTGACAGAGGCAACGGCTGGCAGAAGAGTTTTTTTAATACATTGTACAAGGCACTTCATAAGAAATCTCTTCATTTTTTTTTCCTGTTCTCTTCTAAGACTCACTGGATGTCTACGCTTGGCTCTTGCCAATACCACTTTATGGCTATGGTTTTTAAACTTCTTGTTCTACATTCAGGATTAGAAACCTCTGAAAACATTAATTCAGTTCACGCCTGCAGAATTTAGATGGCAAGCCATCTACACCACCTAACGTTTTCCTGGATGGGGAAAAAACTTCGCATCTGCCTTCTGCTGGTGCTTAAGGGGTGTTCTTATTTTGAAAGGTGAGAAGATCAGTAGTCCTGGAAGAACTCCTGGGAAGTGTCCACGTTGAAATGCTGTTTGCAAAAGCGCACGGTCCGACTCCCATTCCCTTTGCAGCGCTGGCTGGCTGCCCCAGCACCCTACACCTCTGTCCCATCCCGTGTGTAGATGAGGCTGTTGACTGTGAAGTTGTAGTAGTGGTTGTACTGGGCGCCCTGGCTGCCGCTGCTGGGGTGGAAGGAGCTGTAGTAGGCAGGGGAAGGTCCCGCGACCCGCTGCAGCTGGTCTGGGGAAGGCACCTCCTGAGAAGAGCTGCTGGAAGGGGTGAAAGTGCCACTGCTCAGCTGTCCAGCAGAGAAGTTCCTGTGATGCAGGTCACTGCTGAGACCCCCCGTCAGCCGGCCGCCTCCGCCGCTCAGGGAGCTCATGCCGCTGAAGAAGGTGCTGAGGCAGCTGGGGGTGGATGAAATGATGCTGGAGGGAGAGGAGCTTTTGGGATGGTCCCTGGCAGAGGGTGAGGGGTCCAGCTCTGGGGGTGGGCTGTTTCCACACGGTTTGCCTGTGGCTGGGATGGGTCGCTCTTCCTCGGCCTTCAGGCCCCCCAGGGAGGAGGCTGCAGAGGCGGCCGCGGGGGCGTTGGGCTCAGAGCGCCGCTTGCGCTTGCGACGGAAGTTCCCGTTGTCAAACATCTTCTCACAGTTGGGATCTAAGGTCCAGTAGTTTCCCTTCCCTGGTGGAAAACAGGAGACACAAGAGAGAAAGTCAACTTCTGCGACAGTGAGCTCCTCTGCTGACAGATAAGCAGCATGCATGTCTTGTCCAACTGGCACAGAGTGCACATCTCTCCTGCACCTGTTCCTCCTCCCTCTGTTGTCCAGTACATGGATCCAAAACCTGGCTCCAGGACATTTCCACCTCCATCCCTCCAATGCCCAAGTGAACCTTAAGGCCACACAGAAGAAGAGAACCTCCCCATCCCAGAGCATAAACAGATCAGCATCCCTAGCTAAAGAGAATGTGAAGAGGGGCTCCCCTTGCTCCGGCTGCCTCACAGAAGCTGGGGCACTCGCAGCCATCTCAGCAATGGGTGACAAGGCAGTGCCCGGGCCATGGATCATAGACAAGCTGATGGAGAGGCAGGTTGGTACACTCAGGCACTCCACGGCAGGCCAGCAGCACTGAGCTGCGGGGGCTTCAGACAAGCTGCCCCTCGCACAAGCCTTGGTGTGAGGTGCTGAGATGACATCAGCTATTTCCACTCGCCTCCTGCCCACGGCCGGGACGGGAGCAGTGACCCCACGATGTCCCGAACGGCTCCAGCCCGGCACGTTCCGGCTCCGCCGGGCCGGACCAGCGCTGTCCGGGCGCGCCTCCGCCCACTCCCGGGCACCGGCTGTGCCCCGGGGCCGGCCCGGACAGCGGCGGGCAGGGAGGGGAGCCGTGAATCACGGGCAAAAGGAGCCGGACCTTGCACAACCGGCGCTCCCGGGCTGCTGGGGACGGGGCGAGTGCTGGGGCAGGCTGGCCCCCGCCTACACCGCCCGCGGGGCAGCGCCGGCCCGGGCTGGGGCCAAAGGGGATGGACACAACACAGCTCCCGGGTCAGGGGACGGGGGAGAGCGGTGTCCTCAGTGCGCTGGCCCCGACGGGACGGGGAGCGCGGTCTCATCACAGCATCCGACTAGAAGGGATGGAGAAACGCGGTCTCACCATAGCGCTGGCCCCGAGGGGACGAGAGCGCGGTGTCAGGACAGAGCCCGACTATCAGGGGACAGGGACCCGCCGGCCACGGGGACGCTGCCGCCCCTCTCTCACGGCGGTGCCGGTGTCCGCCCCCGCCGTTCCCCGCCGCCCAGCCATCCCTCCCTCCCGGCGCTGCACCTCACCGGGGTCGTCCTCGTCGCGGGGCACCTTGCGGAAGCAGTCATTGAGGCTGAGGTTGTGGCGGATGCTGTTCTGCCACCCGGCCTTGCTGCGCTTGTAGAAAGGGAAGTTCTCGGCCACGTACTGATAGATGTGGCTGAGGGTGAGCTTCCTCTCGGGCGCGCTCTGGATGGCCATGGCGATCAGCGCCGAGTACGAGTAGGGCGGCCGCACCAGCTTCAGCAGCTCCTCCTGGCTGGCCAGGCTGAGCCAGCTCAGCTCCGCGCCGCCCGCCGACGGCGAGCCGGGCGCCGGGGGCGAGCCCACGAGCTGTCCGCCCCGCGAGCAGCCGTACGAGGCGGGCGGCAGGAAGGGCGCGGCGGCGGCGGCGGCGGCGCCGGGCGGGCCCTGCAGGTAGGGAGCGGGGCTGTTCATGCCCCACAGGTACCCGGCGTTGGCGGGAGCCCCGTAGTCCCCCAGCGCGTACCCGCCCGCCCGCTGCCCCGAGGAGGCGGCGGCGGCGGCAGCGGCGGCGGCGGCCGCGGCGGCGGCGGCGGCGGCGCCGGGCGGGCCCTGCAGGTAGGGAGCGGGGCTGTTCATGCCCCACAGGTACCCGGCGTTGGCGGGAGCCCCGTAGTCCCCCAGCGCGTACCCGCCCGCCCGCTGCCCCGAGGAGGCGGCGGCGGCGGCAGCGGCGGCGGCGGCCGCGGCGGCGGCGGCGGCGGCGCCGGGCGGGTGAAGGCTGGGCTGGGGGTAGACGCTGAAGTTCTCGCTGCAGTACACGGCCATGTCGGGGGCTTCCTGTGCGCTGCGGGGCTGCGGGGGCGCGGGGGCGGCCGCCGGCGCCGAGGCTCTGGGCTGCGCCTGCTGCAACTCACCGGCGCTCATAATCCCTGGCCATGCAGGGCGGCCGGCGCTCCCCCCCGCTCCCGTCCTCTCCCGGCGACACCCCCCGCCCCGCGGCCCCGGTGGCCCTAGACCAAAAACTCCCGGGGGGCTGCGGCGCGGCGCCCTTATAGGCGCTGCCGTGCGCCCGCACTCCCCGCCCGCGGCCGGGGCCGGGGCTGGGCGGGCGGCGGCGGCGCGCAGGGAGCAGCCAGTAGCGCGGCTCGGCGGCGGCCGGGGAGGCGGAGGGGGGCAAGGCCGGGCCCCGAGAGCGGCGATGGGGGAGGGACCGGCGGGGGAGCTGCGGGAGGCGCCAGGGATTTGGCTCCCGGCAGCGCGGGGGCAGCATCCCCGAGCCGGACCCACCTCCCGTGCTGTGCCCGTCCTCCCCCCTCCACGACCTGAGGGTCTCTCCCGGCTCTGCCCGCTCGCCCCCGCAACGCTGCCCCCTCCCCGGAGCTGTCCGCGCTGCCCCGGCGCTCGGGGATGCCATCCTGCTTTCCCACGGATGCGATCGCCCCCGATGCCTTCGGCCCCGACGCTGAGGTCGGAGGGGGATGAGCATCGCTGCGGTTCCTCGACGGGAGCGCCAAGGGAGGACTTTGCTTAAACTCTGTTCTTGAAGTGTAGTTTTGCCGCCCGTGTCCCAACAGCCGGGGCTGAGATCGCAGTTCATTAGCTTTGGATAAGGAATTGCTTTGGATAAGGAATTTCCCGAAATTAAACAAACAAACAAACACCACCGGCGTCTTCGCTCGTATCGCGGGCGGAACGGGCTGGAGGGAGTGGGGCGAGATTTAGTGAATAAAAGTTATTTTCGCCTTAGTGCTCCGGGGCAGCCTGACGGAAAGCACATCCTTTTGCAGAGAAAAACCTCTCGGTGCTCATAACGATCCCGACACCGGGATCTACACAGGGGCCAGCTCTGTCAAATCTTCTGGTCCGGGGCAAAGCACACGTGTAATAACAGAAATACGGTCAGTGGTGCGGGAGGATTTAGAGACTTTGTCTAAATACCAGGTATATGAGATGTACATTTAATCTCCCGTTCTTAAATGGAATTGTTATTCAGTTTTCTGCTGGTAAAAGTGCCCCAAAATGTCCTTTCCTGGTGTATACACGAAGTGCTCTCTGCAAGCGCCGGGTGTCTCGGTCTGACAACAGGATTTGGGGCAGAGAGGAGCGTTTGGGAAAAGTCTTAGCATTTTATTTCTTCCATAAAATAGTTATAAAAGCAGGCGTAAACCAGTGAAGCTTTCCTGAGCTCACTCCAATCCCAAATTTTCATCCCCTGTGTGATTTGAGTAGGGATATAATAGCCGAAGGATTTTCAACTTTTTATTTCGTTTTAAAACAAGTCAACAAACTTTTTTTGAGGCAGAGAATAACTTAAAAGTGACTGAATCAAAGAATTAGGATTTGGGGTTTTCTCCTTTAGTCATAAAGAGAGGTGTTTGGGGAGTTTGTTGGGTTTTTTGTTTTCGTGGGGTTTTGTGTGTGTGCGTGTGCGTTTTTTTCCTTTTCTGTTGTTATTTTGTTGCCGTCACTATTGCTGTTGCTGATTTTATTTTGCATCCCTTGGGGAAAGAGCTTTCGGTGTGTATTGGATACCAGAACAGCAGGAGAAAAGTTTACATTACGTTTCACAAGATGCCTTTTCCCTTCTCAGCTTCCTTCTCTTCAAGATTTGTAACAGCTCCTCATCTTTTTTTAAAGCAGGGTCGCGCTGGAAAATGCCGGTTTGAAATCTGACGGGACAGCAGGCATCCAAACCAAGCACTTTAAGGGGAAATCACATCTAGAAATGACATTTAAAGAACAAGAAACAGGTAGACTTTTAAAACGCAATTTCCCTCTGAATCTGAAGAGCTAAACCGAAAATATTATTCTCTAAAATTACAACAAGTCTGTGTTTATCCGTTTGGCCAAAAGCCCCGCAATTGTTGCAAGAGGGAGAGGAGCAGTCAGTGGGATCGCCGTATCGCTCGAAATTGAGGTTTTTGCTCCAGGGATTTGATATTTTTGGGCAAAGGCAGAGCCATCTAGAGGAACAGCCCGGCTATGGCGAGGCGGGGAAAGCAGTTTTCCTCACAGGCATGGGGTGCTGCCTTCGAGCTTCCCTGAGCTGATTCCTCTGCCTCCAACAAAGGAAACGGGTTAGAAAATAATGCTGAATTAGCTCTAATAAAAATGCGTGTCCTCAGAAAACTCCAGCTTGCTTTACCAAATAGTAAGGAATGTGAAACAAAAATAGCTTTAGAGAGGTTATTACATAGCTGGGATGGCATGGATATGCAAACCAACACTTAATTTAAAGAGTGGAGAGAATAAAGCTTTGATGGTGTGACGGCTGTAAAAACATTTAATTTTCTTAATGCATTTATCCTGCAAGTGGCGTGCAGTGTTGCCTCGAAACATCATCAGCTCTCAGTACAGACCTGTTGCTGCTCCCTTCTGCCAAGGCATGAGGAGAGCATGAAGAGATCCAGCACTGCCTCTCTGCTTTCTAAATGCTGCTTTTTTTTCCAGAGAGCTCTGGGAGACATTTGCCTTGGAGAAACTCACCGGGGAGCTGGCAAGAGATGATGAAACACAAAACTGAAATCAGTTTCAAGGTAAGAGTCTGAGGCTACTGTCCATCCCTGGGAGAAGGTTTGGGGCTGGGTTTCAGCAGCTTTGTTGGCTCTGTGAGTGGGCAGCGAGGTGTGCTGGGTAGAGGAGCCCGTGGCACCTCCAGTTGGGCTGAGCTGTATTCCCAGCCAGCTGGGATCAAGTGCAAACCTCTCCACAAAGCTGCCTTGGAAAATGTTTCAAGGTTTCCCAAGTGCTGCAGGAGAGCAGGATCCTCCCCATCCTCGCCTGGTGCTGTCCCCACTGTTGGCTGAGGTGCTGTGCCTGTCCTTGTTGTGCACTGCACTTTTCCCCCTGCAGGAAGACACTGGCTGTGCCTCTGAGCCCTGCTCCTCTGAACATGTAGGTACAGGCTCCACTTCCCTGGTGTGGATCTCAGGTGTGTGTGCAGCTGAACACGAAACCTGAAAATGCTTCAGAGCTGAGCGCCCAGCCCAGCAATGGGAACAGATTCCTGCACCCACCTGGACCTCTCTCCATTTCCCAAGGATGCTGAGCTCTAGCACAGGGTATGTGTTGGGGGAACAGAACACAATAGCCCATATTGGCTTCTATTGCCTTTACCAGGAGGATAGAGAAACCAGGATCCCTTCAGTGGCTCCAGATTTCTGCAGGTTTGTTTTGTTTTGGCTGCATTTGCAATCTAAGTCTTGCTTTTTCCCCAGGGCTGGCAAGGAGCAAGGTGGAAACTCCATGGTCCACATAAAATCTGCTCAGTAAAAATTCTTTTATTTCTTTCTCCAGAGTGATCAGTGAAATTGGGAATGAGTTCTTCATCGTCAGAGGCAAGATGGAAACATTGTCTTTTCTCTTGAAGTACTCCATTGTCTCCACCCTCAAGAAAATAAGGAATTGACTAAGACCAGCTCAAATTAAATTTAAAATCTAGTATTCCTTCCTTCCTTAGAGCCAAGCATATTCCTCCCTACTCTTCCCTATTAATATGCTGTAAGAACATCTCTTTTTTTCACTCAACCCCTGATTTGTCCTGCAAATGGCTAACAGAGAGTATCTGATGGTGTGCAATAGATGTTTCAGTGCTGTGAATTTGGGAAGGCTGTTCTGTGTACGTGTACACGGGTTAAAGTAATTTTTATCCCTTACCTAAGGAGAATGATGTATATTCCTTCCTCTCTGTATCTAGTAATCTACTGGACTGAAGTTCTGGCCATCTAATTTTGCCACCTTGCCTTATGATAAAATCAGAGATTTTCAAACCTTTTCTTGATTTTTCAGACTCTACAATGCTTCCTGGAGAGGTGCCCTCATCCCACCATGTTCAGGCTTAGTTTGGTTTTGAGTTCACGGTCTCTGTTAAACTCTGCAGGCTGCAAACTGAGGGTTAACGTTTTGTATTGTTTATAATAATATTTTCTCAGTGCAATTCTATGCTGCTGAGTGTCATGGAGCCCCTGGACCCGGCCACAAAGAGAGGAATAAATCATAGTTCACCACAAGCTGTAGTTTCTGCAGCACTTGAGGCTGCTGGGAGCAATCCCCCTGGCTGAAAGGAGCAGTGTCTGCTCTCTGTCCACTTCTCACCGGTTTTTTTAAGGCTGCTGTGCTCAGCACACACACAAGTGTTTCTGTGGCTGGCTGGGGCACTAATCCGGTTTGAGGAGAACACCCTCTTCCCAATCCTTTTTTCTCCCTTTTTTCTTATCCCCTCAGGTTAGCTTTAGCCTGGGCCTGCCTAGCCCCTTCCTGAGTGAGAGCTTGTTAGTGACTGATTAGCCCAAGTTTTGATAAAAGCTTCATTGTTTGTAACCCCTGTAAACTACCCGGAGCTGTGCTCCTAATAAAAGTGGGATTAAATAGACACCTTGGGAGTGAGACAGTTGCAACTGGGAATTTCAGAGTTTTGAGGGACTGAGGGATGTGGCCAGGCTTCAGTAACTCTGTGTATCAGAAGTGATTTTACCAAAACTGGGAAAGAAGCCTGACTTTTGTGTTTTGGGGGGAAAAGGAACGTGGTGGAGACAGAAGGAAGTCACCTGTTTGTGTCTGGATTAAGCACACGCTCCAGGGCTTTGGAAACATGTTTGCAGAAGTTCTCAGCACCCTGCATTCCTCCAGCCTCTCTTCAGGCTTAAGATTCATAAAAAGTATTTAAAAATCTTTACGCTGATCACATGAATTTAATCCTTCCTGCTTTTATTTTTGCAACAGTAAAAATGTCCACTTGGTAATGACACATGCCTGACTTGGTACTCTTGTGTTGTATCTTTTCTGGGAGGAATGTTAAGCAAGAGGCTTCTTCCCTCCTGCCTAAAGCAAGAAATTGAGCTGGGCTGAAATAAAGCATCTCTGTGCGTTTAAAATGGTTTTTGTGTGTAATGGGTTATTTGAAGTTGAGCTTGGTGCTCTGGGCT